CATTAGCACGCCGCTGGACATCAAAAGTTGTAGACAATGGCGAATCGTGGCCGCGTTAACCTACTGTGGGTAGCATGTTTGCGCTCGATACCAGACATACCGCGAAGGTGACGCTACCCAACGGCAGGACAACGACGGCTCTCCTTGCCAGTATAGTGTACCAGTATTGATAGATATGGTGTGGCTTTAACGTATGCGTCTCGACGTTCTACTACACAGCCCCAGGCCACTCAGCGTGTTTCACTGAATCTAAAACCTGGTAAGTTACCTCCAATCCTGCATTTGAGGCACATCTGCCTACAATATTAAATTGTGAAAGTGCTCTAAATGACGGAGAGCAGTGAGGAATTCATAACAATTAGTGCGTCAGCTGTGAATTCATTCTGGTTCATGTACCTGTACCCGCAGCAGGAAAACATTACTTTCCCTATGTAAGGTTTCTTGTAAAAAAAATGTCCGCGTTTTGTTGCAATTGGAATGTTTGAATGTTTGACCATCCAATCAAATCTTCACTTTTTAACTGAGACTCTTAGTTAAAAAGTGCATTGGTGCACTCTTATTGGCTGACGTTTGGGGCAGGGAACCCGATAAATATATTTATTGCCAATTATTGTTTATTGTTTCTCTCAATAATTTATTTACGAAAAATTCTTCAGCAAATATGTATTTACGAAGTTACCACGACCCAAATTTTCCGTATTACACGAGATCCCTGCAACAGCGTAAAAAGGTCGCTTCAAGTATATAACGAAAAAGTAAAAAGTGGTGAAATCAGTGAACATCCAAGATTTGTATGTACATTTTACACCTGTTGCATGAAATCCGTGGTTGCGGAGAACTCGTGTAATACGGTACTTTCCTGGACAACGACGACCAACAGTTTGTGGTTGGTTTTGAGCCCCTCGACTTCACCGAAACGCATATTTTAGTTCATTCTGCAACTTCCCAGGAACACAACAAAACCTACTCTCTCTTTTCACCATGCCCAACTCTCTTATCGCCTCGCCTTCTACTAAGTGCAAGTTCACACCGAAACAAATGGCGTCCTTCAAAAAACAAGCCCATGCTAGATGATCAAGGAGATCCAACGGATCTGCAAACCTGCAAGGCGTGCGGAAAGACGAGAAAGCGTGTACCCAAAACTGGGTACTGTCTCATATGCGGGCTAACCACCCTCGCTTCGATGTGAAGATGGAGGCAGCCAGTACCACTGCCACCGGAACTCTCATCCCGTGGGTTTGCCAGAAGGCGTCAAACCGGTACGTGTGGATCGACTGGATCGTCAAGGGCAACCTTCCGTTCGCATTCGTCGAAATGGAGACAACCAGAAGGTAACTCACACCACGATCAAGACCAAATATTATTTTTTTAACTTTAATTTTTATGTTAGGTACACGAACTTGGCAAACGTGTGTGAGGAGTCACGACATGGAGCTCGTCACCAAGGCTGCGGAGAAAAACATCGGCGAAGAGCTGCCGGAATGCTTCGGAGTTATTCTCGACGACTGCACGTTCGGCAGCAAGCACTACATGACAGCGTACGACTGCTACAAGCACAATGGTGCGCGTCGCTGTCCCCTTATCTCCATGGCACCAGTGATCAATGTGGTGAAGTGGCAGTTGGCTTATGGGAACAAGGGACTGATTGATGGAATGTGTCATGGTAGACGACGGCGCGTCAGTGATTACGTCATCATCTGTGAAGATTACGTAATCATCAAAGTGGATCGACATGGTGTAATCATTTGGACACGCGATCTACCCTCAAGGATTCGATCTACTGTCGACACATCAACTGATTTGTACCCATGGTAAGTACTACGCGACCAAATAACAGAGTGGAATTTGCCTTATCAAGAACAAGTGTCTTCGGTTCAAGATTGGAAGGCTGTAGCGGGAAGTATATTGGCCCATACAGTAATCAAGTAATTCTACCAAGGACACGTGTCAGTCGCCGGAGTTTGCAGCTTGGCCGGTC